AGTTCATCACGAAGAGATGAAACAGTAGAGAGATACAAATTCTTCACTAGAAATCAAGAACCACATGAAGGACTTGACAAGTACATAACAGATTTAAAGGTTCTTGCAGCAACATGTAATTTCAGTACATTACATGACTCTCTCATCAGAGACAGACTGGTTTGTGGTATTGGTGACACCAGACTCAGAGAAAGACTGTTGAGAGAAACGGATTTAGATTTAGACAAGTGTCTCCAGATCTGCAGAGCTTCTGAACTGTCTAAAGAGAGAATCCGAACTATAGAAGCCCCTGTAGTTGTCCATGCAGTGAGACAGTCACATGATAAAGCACAGAAGTCATACAAAAAGACATCTAGTGTTTCGCTACAGAGTTGCAAATACTGTGGCAAGAAACATGACCACGATAAAAACAAATGCCCTGCCTATAGAAAGCAATGCCATAACTGCAAAAGGTTGAATCACTTTGCCTCACAGTGCATGCAGAGTAAGCGCAAACAGAAAGCAGTGTATAATATAGCAGAATACAGTGACAATGAGTGTGAGGAAATACAGTTAGTCACGTTATCACCAGAAAACGAATATGTCAATAGAGTGACTGAGAGCAGTTTTCCCAAGCAGATACATGCTACAATGAACATTAATGAGAGACCAGTCAAGTTTCAACTTGATTTGGGAGCATCATGCAACATCATTCCATTAACCCTTTTCCGGTCAAGTCGGTGAAAAACCGCCATCAATATGGGTATGCTAGAATTTCCCACTCCAGCTAGCTAACTGGTTAAGTCGTTGAAAAACGGCCTGTTATTTAGGTTGCTCAGACGGTCAAGCGTTTATAATACGTTGTACGGAACCTGATATTTTACACTTGCGAAATTGTGGAGGGAGAGAATTTGTTTTCGATTACGCCAAGTCAAATAAATTAACCAAGTAATAAAGAATGTAATTCTATACTCTTGTCTGCTCATTTCACTATTTTACCGTCACAACGCGACGTTTGCGACGACGTAAAAAAAACGCCTTGACCACATTGCAAACTGCAGCATTACAACCGTATTTGAACGACACGATTCACGGTTATAACGATAGTAACGTATTTTGACCAGCTTGGCAAATAGTCCCGGCACTTAAAATGAATAGCATAACGGATTCCAACGGCTGAGCTTGGAATGTCGGCAATCACCAACGTA